TACCAAAGTCTTAATGTTTCTCTACTCTCTTACACCTATTATTGCCGACAATTTTTCTGTAAATGCCATCCAAATGCTCATCTGCAAATATATTGTGTCAGTGTGCAGCAGCTAGCGTGTGGTGTACTTGTGTGTTGCAGATGAGCATTTGACCGGCATTTACAGGTGATTATAGGGGAAATAGAGTAGAGAAACATTGGCCCAAGGATAGAGAACATGGGTCCCAATAAAACCAATGACATTGGCAATGTGCCTAACCCTAACCCTAATTCTAACCCTAACCCTAACCCTAACACTAGTAACAGTAACAATAACACTAACCATAGGCATAACCATAACCCCTTGATATAATTAATATTATATTTATATTGATGTAAATGACATTGGTTTTATTGGGACCCATGTTCTCTATCCTTGAACCGAAACATTAAGACTTTGGTAGTAAATACATTTCGTGTTTATTTACCTTTTTTAAAATTTTATTTTTATAATATTGAGACGTTCCAAGTGCTGTGGCTGTGCGTCATCCTACCTTCAAGTTCCAGCAACATAACACTCAGAAGTCACATGCAGCATTACCATAACGTAGAGTTATTTCAAATTCATTCGATACTCAAACCTTCACAGAACTGATTGCATTATACTTATATACTTATTATTATAGCATCAATACCGTTCATCAGCAGATGACCGCTACACTACTAACGCAAGCTCCTCATCGACTCACATCATCGTTGACAAGTGAGCATCTACGTGGCGCCACCGTACATAACAACAAAAGATAAATTTTTGGTTCGGCTTTGAATGACTGAAGTTTCACTTTGTAATCAGTCTAGAGATTTCTCTAGAGTGTATCCACAAATATCCGACAAATATGACGGCTGACAGACTTCAATGGCAGAATCAACTGAGGTTATATAATATTTAACTTAAAGTGTATTTCATAATATGAAAGGAATAATCTAGGCAATTGTAGCCTGTACTGTACGAATGGAATTGACTTGTGGCCAGACCAATGTCAATGAATCAAATGAATGATCATGCATTTTGCAAATTGATTACAGATTAGGTGATTCCCTTCACAATTTGTGAAGTATTTGGTACACAAATGCTAACTAGACCAAAGTTCTATTTCGGTGTAACACCACTGACTAGTCGCGATAAGTACTAACCATTAATTGTTGATTACCCGTGACGGACGGTGACGAACATTTAGTTACGCAGCGTTTATCCACATGACCATGTTATTAATAGTATAATACTACAGCTACACAATCCTTCTACTTTTGTTCTTATGCAGGTTTCACTTGGATGTTCCATGTGCTCCTCTGGTAACGACAGTCGGACCACCCGCTCCGATCGTCATTGAGAGATTAGGGCGCACACAGAGTCAGAGTGCCGAAAGTCTCAAATCTAGTCATGGATCATATTATCAACCACCATTTAACTTCACTGCGATATCAGAAGGTGAAAGATTATGCTTATGAAAATAGAAATAATTGAATTATATTTATTCATATTAAAGCAGTTATATTTAAAAGGCAAGCATCTTACAACTGTTCATACATTATACTATTACACCAAGAAGTGTCATTATGTCAAATGTTAAAACATCTAAAACAGTACGTGCGATAATTGCTTTACCATATATTTTTATAGTTTTCTTATATATAGCTGATCATGGACTTCAAGTGATTGTTCTTGTGAAAATGTATAATCTGATAGATATATGCAATTATTATTTATTCGGGTCTAGAGCGTCTACAGATGGCGTCGTTCCTCGCGAGCAGGGACGTAAAACGACACCAGATGGCGGAAAAATTATTTGCGGTCACCGGCGAGCCACCGACGGATGTTTCACACCTGCAGTCGACACCTGTGATGGGCGTGCAGCATCGCCAGCGCCACCACAGCACTCAGGTCTCCAGTACGCATGCAGTCACCTTACCGAGAAGTAGCACCGAGAGCGAAGGCAATTAAGACAAGTGGACACGAAAACATCATTAACAAGTCTAGTGTCGCTAGTCCGATCGAGAAAACTGGCAGGTAAATTACAAATGTGGGGATGACTATGCACTCCAATTCTATCTGTGCTGTTGCAGTGACCAGAATTGATAAGTTTTAGAAATCGATTGATCTTTGTAGATATGCTGCTATTCATCAGATCAAAGTAATACCAAGGATTCCTAGGATAACAAATATTGAAGTGTGACCGAGTCATAAACTACATGTTGTTATTAGTGTTATTCACCAGAATAACACGAACTATTGGGACGTATCGTATGATATATTATTGATAGGGATTGTTAGGATATGTTGTTCTCCCACTCTTATCAGATCGCTCATTTGGCAACACGCCTCCTCGGCGAGATAAGGGACCAGTGCGCAGGCACCCTTCCCAAGCACGACCAGATGAAATACGTGAGATCAGTCGGCTTAGCAAGGAAATACACAAGTACTCCAGCATAGAGCAGTTAGGTGTGTTTTGCTGAGCCACGAGTCAGTTTCTCATTTGTTGCGAAGGTGTTGAAATCCTTATCTTAAATGAGGTTCACAGAAGTGTCTCTCTCACAGGAGAAAATAAACATTTAAACGTGTGTAATCTTCTCCCGTGAGTGGGATTTAACGTGTTCGATAATAATTTTACATCGATAATCTTTTTTTAAGTTTTTAAAGTTTACAAGTGTGGTTTAGTGTTTAGACTAGTTCGTGTTTGTGACCGTAGGTGGCGTATGTAAGCCTGAAGTGGTGGAGGTGAGGGAGGAAGAGGAGGGGGCACTGAAGGTGAGAAGGGCTGCTGAGCAAGCCAAGAGGACCGTTAGGATATTGTACACTCAGCAGCAGAGGCTGAGGGACCTGCATGCCGACCGAGATGCCATCCGTAACAGACGTGTAAGTGCTGCCATCTGTGTTAGGAATATTTTTCAAATGCAAATGCTTCGTTGTACGTATGCCTATGTTACGAACCTTTTAACTCGTTACCTATACATATATATATATTTATTTATTTGTTTATGTACAGTCCGACCTCCTTTATCCGGCCATCCGTTATCCGGAAATCTCTATTAACCGACCGCGATCTCGCAGTGTATATTCTATGTTTTTCATTCATTTCCACCTAAAAATCTCGCTCAAAACTCGCGCGATGTACCAACCGTACGTGTGTTTGCGTGTGTGTGTGTGTGTGTGTGTGTGTGTTGTCCGCTTGTGCCCGCTATGCCTCCGGTAAAATTTCTGTTTTCTTTCATTTTATTTCCATTCCATATAAACCATAAAACACGACAGTTTGTTACAAATAATCATAGCAACGAGTAAATACATTATTACATGCATAAACCCTACTGAACTGCATAGAAATGCTGTGTTTGAGCATAAATCTTATATCCGGCCAAATCCCATATCCGGATGGGTGCCGGTCTCGACGTGGCCAGATAAAGGAGGTCGGACTGCATGTATATATATATAAACAATGCAAGTACGTTTCGGTACCCTGCGTTGTTGACACGTTGATGTTTTCCGTCACAGGGTGGCGCCATGAGTCGCATGCTGCTCGTACATCAGGTCGGTGCGAGAGCACTGCAAGTGTACGCGCGACACTCCGGCTACCACGCCGACCACGACCGACGCCGCGTCCACACCCAGCTGCTCACGCTCCTGCAGCTGCTGACGCTCTGCTGTTTACAGATGGAGCTGGACGTCGATGGGCTCGCGGTGGATGATAGCATGGTGAGTAGGGTCGTGTGGAGCAAGGAGATAAATATAACAAGGAGAGAAAGCGGATTGGCTGTGTGCTTTTTGCCTCAAGGGCGCCATCTATGGAACATAATCAGCTGAAACGGCTGTGCAGGCCGAACCCAGAGACAATAGAACACTAATCTGTTCTAGGGTCTCTGCCGAACCCAAATTTGGGCCAGATATGGCGGCGCTTCCTCTCCTTGTTATATTTAGCTCCTTGGTGTGGAGCGGGTTTGTGTTCGAAGGCAGCCCGTGTGTGGCATAACTCGCGCATGCGATGACCCAATGCCATGATTATCCACTCCTACAGTAACTCACCCCCACAGTAACTCATCCCCACAGTAACTCGTTCCCACAGTAACTCATCCCTACAGTAACTCATCCCTACAGTAACTCATATTCACAGTAACTCACCCCCACAGTAACTCACCCCCACAGTAACTCACCCCCACAGTAACTCGCCCCAAGAATAACACGCCCTGGGTTAACCCACACCTGTGTTAACCCAATGTAACGATAACCTACCCAATGATAAGGCCACCAGTGTGGTAACCCACTCTGTGGTAACACGTGTAGCGCTGTAACTAGCCTTTTTTGCCTTCGTAGCGATATTTCATATAGATGACCCCATATAACACCTGTACTAGTCATCATAGAGCAACAGGCGCGCCCTCTACGTAATGACAAGTGAACGGTTTTGACGTTTTCTGTCGCTCAGGTGCTGCGAGAGAGGAACGGAGACCAGGCGAGCGACCTGAGAAGCAGATTGCGCGAGGCTTACTCGTCAGCGCCCCCTACCGGACACCGTCGGAACTTCAACGACGAAACAGAGCGATTCGCCGTGGAAAACGTCCGACCCACAGGTGAGTCTGATGAGGAGTGAGAACTATTGTCTGGTGATTGTCTAGCTATCGTCTACTTCAGAGGTTCTTAACCTGTAGTCCAGGGACCCTTTTGGAGTCCGTGGATGGGCTTCAGGGGGTCCGTAGTTGCACGTTAAGTCATCCTTCGTCCTTAATAACCTTATCTGCATTTTTCTGGGGAGGGGTCCGTAGCTTTCACCAGATTCTCAAAGGGGTCTGTCCATGACTCAAAAAAGGTTAAGAACCACTGGTCTACGTAAACAGAAAACATACTACGTAAAACCATCCTCCAAAGCCCACGCTCTAACCCTGCCAAGCGTGCAACTCGTGTGGCGTACCGAGATGTGTGTGATATGCTGCATTGCAGGCAGACCTCCTTGGAACTCAGATTTTGGCCCGGATAGGTTGGATGTAGGATCGGTGCCTGCATCGAGGAAAGCTGTGATTCTTCCTCCAAGCTTACAGGTAGGGCAGATGGAGTCGTGCGGTTTTTGCTTAGTTGATGCCATCTTGCAGTCTTGGATGCGTACTTAAACAAAGTGTTTTAATTGAAGTATTAATAATACTTTATTACTCATCTTATTTTTCATCTTGGATATTATTATACGTATCTATCGTGTTGTTTATCGTGTTTGAGTTATCCTAGATATTTACAAGTAATTTATTGTTTTTTTCAGAGGAGCAGGGCGCGAATGCAGAGGATTGTGACAGTAAAGGACACTCGGCAAGGGCCAGGCTTTTACGCAGGAACAATAGCTTTTAACGAACGCATAAAAAGCCCTGCGAGACCGAAACTAAAAGTGGTGCCATCTGCGGGTGCAAGACGGAACAAATCGCCCCTAAAGAAAACCGGCAAACTGGGTATGAGAACAATAAAACACATTTTCTAACGCATCTTCGCAATAGACTATTTATCCTTGTATAATTTTTCTTCAAAAAACCGATGCAGACCAATAATTTTTATCCGATTCTCAAAAACCATACGATAGAATATCGTTACCTTTTATTTCTTTTATCCGAAAACCGATGTGCAATACTATCCCCGATTCTCGAAACAAATGATTAACTCACGCGAACGTTTTTCTATCGTAGAAACTCGACCCATGCACCCGCCTCGTTGCCTCGCTTCCCGTCGCACGAAAGAGGAGAGGCTTCCCCCGCGGGAGAGGCTTCAGACGACGGGCGGAAACGAAGGAGCGCTCGAGTTTGCGCAGAATGTGACGGACGCGGTGACGGACGCACAGCTGAAGATGGCCGACATCCTACAACCCATGCTGGCAGACGCTCAGCGTGTGGCAGCGCACCATGCTGCCATCTGTAGGCAGGTAGAAGAATCGATCGCACCGAGTCTCTCCGAGAAATCTGTCGATAAGGTGGGTGTGTGACAACGATCATGTAGTTTTCGTAGTTCTAGTCCAGTGCTTCCTAAACTGGTGAATGGTTCACCCAAAGGTGAATAAAATTATTTTGGGGGGAATGAAACTTACCAAAGACATAAAGAAATTTAGTCGCCGGTGAATGAAATTTTGCGATAAATACTCGAGGGTGAATGACACTGAAAGAGTTTAAAAAGCACTGCTGTAGTCGACTTGGTGTTGTTAGGCATTTACATGTTAAATCGTCCTTGTCTAGTAAATTTTGTGTTCATTACTGTTGGTCGTTTGCGAAAAGCCCAAGTCCGTCTACAGCAGATGTGCTTGTCTATTACAGGTGGCGCCATCGTTGGATCCACAGCCTGCAAGAGCTGCAGATGATCAGAGCAGGGACAAACACGTGGATGCTGCACGGCGAATAGAAGTTGATGCACAGTGCCTCCAGGTGGCACCAGATTTAGAGAGCATACTGCAGACGCTAGAGAGGATGGAAATGGAAACGGATCTGATACGTCAACGTTGGGCTGAGATTCAATACCATGACCAAAATACATATCATATAGGTAGGTGCCAGACCCAATACCATGACCCAAACACATATTACATAGGTAGGTGCCAGACCCAATACCATGACCAAAATACATATCATATAGATAGGTGCCAGACCCAATACTATGACCCATACACACATCACATGGATACCTATGATGTAGGTAATACCATGACCCAAAATATGTATCACATAGATATATATAGCATAGGTAGATGCAAAACTCAATATTATGATCTGATTATACATAACACAGGTAGGTACCATGTTCTCTACGGTCCACCAGACTACCACAACCAAATGTGTACGTGTCAAGTTGACCAGGTTAAGTACGACTACTTCAAAACGTCACACATGTAAACGCACACATAATATTACTGTAGGTGTAATCGATTCTGACGTGATTGCTTCAGAAGGACAAGTGACATGCTCTCCAGCACCACTAGAAATACACACCACGTCTCATCGTGCGTCGAAAGAGCCATTACCAAAGTCCGACAGCACCGGTGCAGCAAGAGAAGATGGCCGGAGTCATTCACAGAGAGCAGCAGCAGTAGTACAGCCAGCTTCTATCGTGTTCACAAAGCCTCACCGTGAAGAGAGTCGCCGTGTGTCACTAGGGCAGGCGGACCGACAAAGCTCTACCGATACAGAGACAGGTACAGAGACACAGAGAGAGAGAGAGAGAGAGAGAGACAGGTACAGAGACACACAGAGAGAGAGACAGGTACAGAGACACACACAGAGAGAGAGAGACAGGTACAGAGACACACAGAGAGAGACAGGTACAGAGACAGAGAGAGAGAGACAGAGAGAGAGACAGGTACAGAGACACAGAGAGAGAGAGAGACAGGTACAGAGACACACAGAGAGAGACAGGTACAGAGACACAGAGAGAGAGAGAGAGAGAGAGACAGAGACTGAGACACAGAGAGAGACAGAGACAGAGACACAGAGAGAGAGACAGGTACAGAGACACAGAGAGAGAGAGAGACAGGTACAGAGACACACAGAGAGAGACAGGTACAGAGACACAGAGAGAGAGAGAGGGTACAGACAGAGACAGAGACTGAGACACAGAGAGAGACAGAGACAGAGACACAGAGAGAGAGACAGGTACAGAGACACACAGAGAGAGAGAGACAGGTACAGAGACACAGAGAGAGAGAGAGACAGGTACAGAGACACACACAGAGAGACAGAGACTGAGACAGAGAGAGAGAGAGAGAGAGGTACAGACAGAGACAGAGACTGAGACACAGAGAGAGACAGAGACAGAGACACAGAGAGAGAGACAGGTACAGAGACACAGAGAGAGAGAGAGAGACAGGTACAGAGACACAGAGAGAGAGACAGGTACAGAGACACAGAGAGAGAGAGGGGTACAGACAGAGACAGAGACTGAGACACATAGAGAGACAGAGACAGAGACACAGAGAGAGAGAGACAGGTACAGAGACACAGAGAGAGACAGGTACAGAGAGACAGAGAGAGAGACAGGTACAGAGACAGAGAGAGAGAGAGACAGGTACAGAGACACAGAGAGAGAGACAGAGACAGAGACAGGTACAGAGACAGAGACAAAGACAGAGAGGTACAGAGACACAGAGAGAGAGACAGAGACAGAGACAGGTACAGAGACAGAGACAAAGACAGAGAGGTACAGAGACAGAGAGAGAGAGAGAGACAGAGACAGAGACACAGAGAGAGACAGACAGAGACAAGTGCTTGAAATCTGTGATGTTTCTCTTGGAGCTCCCCACGACGGATGCTGCAGCAGTTTCTTTCAACAGTCGGTCTTCGTTTCAGAAGGAGCACGGCAGTTCCCTATCAGGCTTGTGGTACCCATCGACGAGGTGACGCGTCTAGAAGCCGACAGATCTGCCTTCCAACAGCACATGCAGTGGCTAGCAAGTGGCTACGGTGTCTCCCCCTGTCAGCTACTGACTGCAGTCGATCAGTAAGTCGGAGTTTTTTTTGCTACGGCAATCATGTTTATTTTCTCATCGTTTTACGAGTATCAAACGATTTTATGTAGTGTGTTCTATTTTATATATATATATATATATATATATATATATATATATTTTATATTTCTATTCTATGTTATATTTTGTCTATATTTTGCATGACATACGAATATAGAATGTAAGCATGTATAGTTGACAACAGCAATTTTAGGTTTAATGAAAGATTTATAATCACAGACTACGCGCATTATGCAATGTATAATGTGTAAGATTGATTACATGGAAAGCTGCAATATGCATAAACCAGAGTGTGTGCATTCACACACCCTCTGTTTCAGCGAGATTGAAGAGGTTTGCCCCTTATGGCAAGTCTGTGGCAAATTTCACTCCCAGCTTCTCTTTCTTTTCTCATCAGGGTGATTGCAGAAGGCATCGATGCAGTGCTCACGGACGGAGCAGCTAATCTAGAGAGGATCCTCGGCGACTGCTGAGAGGTGTACGATGACGAGTTTTCTCTCCTCCTCCCACAGTAACTGTATCCTCCCCCTCCCCAACCTGTACGAGTTTTGAGTTGTGTGTGAGTTTTGTACATACCGATTGTGAAGAGTCGAAATCAAAAAATAAAAACGGTTTCTGTGTGTTTACAAAAACAATTTTATTACGTCATGCTAAACAGAACTGCATAACGAGTTGTGTAATTATTTTGACACTGAACAAAACAGACCGAGCCGCCAGTTGGCTCCGAGACGGATAGTGGTATGTAAGATATAACGCGTAGATAATGTACAGCCCTTAGCATTTCTATTAAGCAACAAGTAGCAATGTGACGAATAGGTCTCTCCCTCTCCCTTTCTCTCTCTCTCCCTCTCCCTCTCTCTCTCTCGCTTACTATTGCCCACGTTCCTGTCTCTCTGCATGTCAGTTTTCAGTTTAAACACTCCATTCTACAGCTTGAATGGACTATTCTACAATTCTACAACTTCTTTTTTTTATCACAGATCACGATTAGCTAAGAAATATATTTAGTTGACTTTAGTACTATTGTGATAACCGAAACCTAGATCAAGTGCAGATCCCTCTCTTAAACAAATTGGTTAGAGATCGGGGGTTGGCTCCTGAACCTAGTCTGTAAGTTTCTAGACAACTTTGGAGTAGGCTTCTTCACAATTTGGTGGGGTTTGATGCCCAAGAGACAGCAACTACTCAAGTATGACTACCGATCATATAACGTGCTACTAATTGTCAATTCATATAGCAACTTCTCAGATCATCCTTAAAAAAAATGCTATAAAATTGGCCATCATTTTATATACTGAATTCATTAAAATGTTGGACGTTCGCAAAACGCATTTTCGAGATATTGCCGTACGACTCCAGTGATTGTGAATTTCATAATAATCCGAGAGAGAATTCGCTGCCATGATCGTAGAACTGCAATGACCTTGGCATTACGCTAAAAAATCTGCTACAGGAACACACCGAATCAACGCATCGGGTAATCTCATTCAGAGATGCTGCTTTCCGCCATCCCCAAAACGCGCTAAATATAGAACGTGAACGTGCCCACACGCGTGCGCGGGAGCTAGCGGTGATGCCGACACGACAGACTTGCTCGCACGTACAAAACGCGTCACACGGCAGAGATACTGCCAGACAAAAACAAAATCTCGGTCTTCGTATCTCGGTTGCGGGCCTCTCCCGTACTCCCGGCCTCCATGTACGAGAACAACACGCACAAACTCGCTCATCATCGAGATCAAGTGGGGTCGTGGTTAGCCAGAGAGATGGCACTCGTGCCCCCTCTCCCACCCCCCTAAACACGGTCTTGGCACAGGTATTATGCGAAACACATTAACGTAATGTGGTCGCGCTAACAACCGCGATAAAGTCTCACGAGAAAAAAAGTACTGACTAACTTTTATAGCACGTTGCACTGCGGCGCGCGACGACGGTGACGGCGTCGACACACACAGACTCGCGTCGCGTTACAGCTGCAACAGCGACATGACTAGAACCTGATGTTCCATCGCCTGTACGAAACACAAACGAGCATCGGTATGAGAGACGATCCGGGGCTTGGCTGCCCTACAGCAGTTGTTTACACGTCGGAGCCTGTTTTTCAGATAATTGTTTAGGATTAGCCTATCTGGTTAATCATGAGCCAGATCAATTTATTTATATCGAATTTGTTCGCTGAAGTATTTATATATCACAGATGATAGAAAGTACAATCTCATTCTTATCTTACCGTAGCTAGGCATATCACAATTTAATACAATTTTAATTGTACGATGCATACACTGCAAGTCTTTTCTCGATAATAGCACAAAAAACATTTTTGATATTTCACTTCACTGAAATATGAGCTATATTATTATGAGCTGAATTATGTATACACCTTATGGATAGTAGTACTTATCATGGTGGGAATAGTTGTATTGTGTTTACCTGAAAGGTCGCAGGATGAGCTATTGCAGCGGCGAGAAAGAAGTGGGTATTAATATCCGACTCACTACAGACTTCATCAGTGGCACTGAAATATAAGTTCCCCGGTATGAGAGCAGAGCTATCAACACAGCTTACACACTCCTGCATACCACCACAGATATAAATAACTGGTTACTATACTCCCTAGCTCCAAAATACGACAACAGAATGTTGTTTATCACTGAGTTATTAGTTATTGATCGTTGTTCCCATGTGATGTCAACACATCAATTCCACTTTGCTCCTCCCCAATCATTTGGTTTTACCAACTATGTCTTACCAGTGTACTGTACACACTTGTCCCAGCCAGGCCTTGCCCACGCTGCCTCTCTGGTTTCCTTTCTACCTTGCAGGTCCTTATAGGCTGTAAATAAATGGGTGTTCTATCATGAATCACATCTTCCATTTAATATGGCAATCACAGTGACACGTTCAGTCATATATGCACAAACTGAGAATATGATAAATATCCATAAGAGGTATTAGGATTTGTTCATACAACAGCTACCAATATAAACTTGTGTATACATGGGAAAAGTTTAATAAAAGTCATACATGGAAAAATTATAGAAACTCAGCACGATGTTATAATTATAAAAATGAATTAATTATTAGATATTATTAATTATTAATATATTTACCCATAAAATATATGTAACTTTACTCGCTTACTCCCATGAATGTAAAACACTATATTTAATTTCATATTGTTATAATCGAGATATGCACATTCATAAACTGCTGAAACGAAAAACCTAATCAGATGTTAAGCAACATGAGTGTGATAATCCAAGGCTGACTACTGAGGATGTGACTGCAGGTCACCATTGCTATCATAACTATAATTGTACTTGAAAACAGCCGCTTTTCTACACTCTGATAACTGTTCACCCTTTTGCGATTTCTTTACATACAAGATTCAACTCTGTTGTAAAACTATATGCCCTGTATTGCCCTATAACAAGTTTACACTGGATCTGATCGACAGAGAGTGTTTTTAAGTAACTGCACATGGCCATCATTTCCATTTTTGCACTAAAGATGGATTCATGCACCACACCTAAATATCGCAAATAAGGTCTATGTCCCCCTGACCTCTGTTTGACCTGGCTCGTTTAGCTATTTCTGACTAATATATATATAGGGTTAGGGTTAGGGTTAGTCAGAAATAGCTAAACGAGCCAGGTCAAACAGAGGTCAGGGGGACATAGACCCTACGAGCCTAAATATCCCAAAATTTCATGAAGATATAATATGAATATTGTAGGTAAAGCAATTATCACTTGCGTTGCAATTGCTCAGGTGCCCATCAGTCGTCACTGTCCTAAAATAATCATTTCTGTGGAAAATCCAGATGGTTGCTGCCAAATCCGATGACCTTTTAAGCTTGACCTTTGACCTGATGATGCACTTTCAGATTTCTCTCTACACTCAGAATATAAACAGGAGGTGATAGTGTAGAGAGGAGACTAGATAACCGAGGAGCAAGCTAGTCCTAGCATCACTGGACAATCGCCAGCAGAAAATGTCACTTCTACTCTGGCTATTGCTTCAGACCCCGACCCTACGGTCTTACGACTACCCTACGACTTACTCCGGCGCTCGCGGTTTTCGAGCCGAGCTCGAGGCAAGCCGCTGCGTCTCGTGCCGGCAGTACATACCCCAGAAATGGTGAACAGTATTTATCACACCGATATTGCCAAAGAAAGCACCGACGGGCTCGTCGCTGGAGTTGGCTTGCCTGTGCTTCAGGCCCGTATACCTGCGATACATGTAGCATGCAAACAGTAAGCACGCATTAGGGAGAAACGCCGGCCACGCTGCCGCGCATGCGGGGGTCCGGCCACGCGCGTGCAGTAATCACCGCACTCGCACTCATGCTGGCGTTAGTACAACATGCATGATGCTACAGCATAGCGAGCTAGTGTAGTCGTAACCCCTAACTACGTCACTGAGACCGTGGGGTTGAATCGAGCGATCGTAGATTCAGTGTGGTTTACCTGTGTGGCAGCGTTTGTCAATTATGTAATAACGATAACATATTGATCGATTGTTAATCGTGTAGCTCATCGAAATTAAAAGCTGAGGTTTCGATTAACGACGAGTATCAATCAATCGCATTTAACGAGCGCGGTCGTTTTCAACGTGAAGGAAACCAACATGTCTTCCACGTGATATACTTAGGGGTTACAACTACTGCACGCAAAAGCAAGCCTAGTAAGTCTACAGCATTAATGGAAAGCTAAGAAGCAGAAAATTTGCCATGCTGTTGACGCCTCAGCCACCACGCAGCAGTTGACAGCAGGCAGTGGGACAGTCACTCAGTACTATGTCAGTCCTAAGTCAGCTATGCTGATTGTATCACCTAACAAACACCTACGTCACAAATGCGACAACCGCCGCACCTGGGCGCCACTTAAAAATACTCGGTAAGCAGTCGTGCGAGCGAGGTAAACAGGCGACAGTAGAAATCGCAGGGTCCCATAGACTGCCGACAACCCTGCGAACGGCTGCGAAACAGCGGCCGGCGACAGACAGAACCATGCGATGCCGCGACGCACGTGCGGCGGTCTAAAACCGAAAAACATACACGAAAAAAGAACATTTTAATGGAGAGAGAGAGAGAACAAGCACGTCTCCAAGCGGCCATCACAGCAGCGGTCTTTGAAGGAAACTGCCAAGCAACGGTGAGCCCGGCCCTCGTTAGCAGCGAGCTAATGAGGAAGCTGCGAAATCGCATCGGCTGCCGGCGCAGAGACGCCCCAGCCGCACCAACACTCGCGATCGCGTTGCTAAGCAACGGATGCGGTGGCGCGCTCTGCCGGCACAGAGTCGCACCAACAGCACTCGCGATCGCGTCGCTTAGCAACGGATGCGGTGGCGCGCTCTGCATCGCGGCAGCCGATCGCGCATCGACGGGCGATGGATCCGTACCCCACAGGTGAATAACACTATTGAGACGCCCGGTCTTCGCAAACCATCCGCCTACCGGGGCTTCATTCATCCTCCTGTTGTTAATGCCGCGCACCCTGGTGGCCGGTTAGAGAAACGGTTGTTAGAACACGTAGTAGAGACTAGACTAGACAGGACGAAACGACACTCGAGTACTGTCCTAAAAAAAAACAGGCTCTCGCTAGATCGTTTAGCACTACAGAAACCCCAACTTGCTTAGTGTGTGATTGTCTAAACGGTGCGTGCTCACACTCTCCCCAATGTGCAACAGATTCTACGACACGTAAAAATCACCGGCTGAAACCCCCAAGGGCTGCGATAAATACTGCTAGAAGCAGGCATCTCTAAAGTCGGGGAGGCCTTAATTCCTACCCCAGATGTGATACACGCGATATTGGAACCCTCCCTCGGACACGTAGAGTCCTGTCACGGGGTCAGAGTCCCTTCGTGCCGGCATTCCCTTGCTCCTGCAGATGTTAGAGTGAGCCAGTCAATTCTATACACATCCGCAAAACCCCACAGTGACCCCCGTGGCCTCGTGTTTAAATAACATGTCAATATTTATACACCTAGACCATAATTTAAAAAAATCTTTGTTTGCCCTCACCCGACCCAGGCTGTAAAGTTTGGGTAGGTAGGTCGGCTTTTTTTTAGGGCGGGGCTCTTTTTACAAATTCAACATGGTGTCTACATGCTCGGGTGTGCTTGTGTGGAGATAACGTTTATGTTGAATGTTTGTTTTGATTGGTACATATAATGTATTGCCTACAGATTTATATAATGTACAGTGATACAATTTGTTTTGTTTTTTAAATCAATAAATTTTTTTGAGTCGGCCCCTTTTTGGTGGGCCGGTTAGGTGAGGGCAAACAAACAATATTTTTATTATGGCCCGAGGCCTCGTTATCAAATATGTCAATATTTATACATGTATATATATATAAATATATAATATCAGGAGTAAATAATGACAATTATTAATTTACCCCTGATAATATACGTTCAGGAGATCAGGAGTCTCTCCTCTAGTAACCCAAGAAGCGAGATACCCTGATAATATACGTTACCAACCAAGGCCCTCTTTACTTAGTAAACAAATTAATGAATGATGACAGGCTGATGCACATGCCTGCTAACGATAACCACTACCTTTGTGATTTCATCAACTACCAGTCCATTTCGCACTAAGATTTTATATGTGCGGTAACACAAACTAATACAGTAAGTAGTAATAGGGTACGTACTCTAATTGCGATTTTAGACATTGCGGAGAATGAGGTATGGCCCTACACGGCACATACCTTGCAGTATTTGGCAGGTGCAATTTTAGCGAAGCCTAATGCTACCAATCAATCTAAAACTAAGCATGAATTTTTTATGCAGCAAGCTACTATCATTTGCAGTTAGAACAAAATATCATAATTGCAACTGTGAAACACAAGCGGAGGATACAATAAGAAATTCGTAGTGTCAAATGACGTGACTTAAAGTGAATGCGTCACCGTAAATAGTAAAAAAATAAATATTATTTCCACTTTTTCACAAAATATAAGTAATTCTGTTCACTTTTTATGGTTAAATTTCTGCATTATACTTCTTATTTTACTATATTGTTTGATGTGAACATACACTCGTGACTCGTACATAGCCCATAGCAAGTTAGGAACACTAATATCAAATCGATCAGGTTTTTTGAATTTTTAACTAGTTGAGAAATAATCTTATCAGGTAAGAATTTGACAATAC